AGGTGTCAAGTGCACAGAGCATCGGTGTGCTGTAGGTGTCAAGTGCATACAGCATCGGTGTGCTAGGATTCAAACATTTCCACAAAGCTAAGTGTGGATTTTTGGCTACCAGCTTCCTGAATCCAGCTTTCTCGACAGACTGCTTTGTATTTATTAGACTGCACAAATGAATGTAGTTTCTGTGTGACTTTGCCCTTCTCCCTGTGCTTCTTAACTTTCTTCTACCATCTCCTTGTCAACGTAGATACAATTACTTCAGTTGTGGGAACCACAGAGTCATTTGTCATATATGGTTTTTAATTTTTATGGTCCAATCCTGGACTTTATTTTGATTTCTCTTTACTTCAAAAGTAGCTCAGAGTTCTTTGCATAAAACTCATAGGAACATTGATAACCCAAAACCATAGAAAATAAAACTTTGATAGTTCACAAATTCTACCACCCAAAGAAATCAGTTAATACTGTTATATATTTATTTATATAACCAGTAGTTAAATGCTACTCACCCTTGACCGTAGTATGCAATACATATGCCCACTCAAAACTAGTAGTTACAACTTTATTTAGGAACAAAAGACTTTTGTTCAAAGCAAAAAAATCATACTAAAGAGCTCAAAATAACATAATTCAGGATTATCTGTCAAGCCCTAAACCTAATGACAAAGATTCTTATAAGAAAATGGGGGAGAAGCACTCAGAGGCTAAGGGCACATGAAGATAGAATCTGGGGTTTGGAGTGATTTTGCCACAAGCCGAAGAATGTCTGGAGTGTTTGAAAGCTGGAAGAGGCAAGGACAGATTCTTCCCTCAAGCTGTCAGAGGAAGTGTGGTTCTGGTTTCAATTTCTGGTGTCCAGGAGTATAAGACAAATAATCTCTGTTGTTATAGCAGCTTTATGGAATACTGTTACGACAGCTCTAGGAGGCTAAGGTCATGCATGTGTGCCACAGATGTTTATTGAATGATGAGCCAGTAAAGTGCCAAACTTTACACAGGAATGAACATAAAGATATGTCTGAATGGGCCATAATGTAAATGTTTTATATAAACATATTTCTCTCTAGTAAAATAACCATACATGGAGCTAGAGGGATGGCTTAATGGTTAAGAACACTTACTAGTCTTGCAAAAGACTCAGGTTCAACTCTCAGCACCCATATGGTGCCTCACAACCATCTGTAACTCCAGTCCCAGGGGATCCAATGGCTCTGCCGAACTCCGTGGGCTCCTGCATGCATGTGTTGGTATGCAGACATACATTTAAGCACATACATACACACACAAAAAAAAATAACTACTTAAAAATAAATAAGCACACTTCCATGGCAAACAACCAATACAGATCTGCCTTGTACATAAACCACTATTTAAGTAGGTCTTCAGGGTTTTTTTTTATCATTTCTTTTATAAGGATTTTTTATTTATTTTTATTATTAAAGATATTTTATTTAGTGAGTATGGGTGTTCTGGCTGCATGTGTGTCTGTGCATAGTTCAGGTCAGGGCTTCAGGCTCTGTCTTCCCATCCCATATACAGAGTAGCCTGCTTTGCTCTTGGGAAAAAGTCTGTACCAACCAGGGCTTAGTGTCGTGTGGCGAGTCCACTGTCTACATTCCAGCCTTGGGCTGGGTATGAGGAAATCCCCCAAGTCTCTTCTTGCTATCTGTTCTCTCTGCTGCCTCTCACCGCTCTCACTACTCTGCAGTTATCTCTACTAAAATTTTCCTTTAAAATATTTGGTGAGCTTTCCAACTTCTAACTGTATATTATCAAATATCAACTCCACTCTCCCCAGTCCTAACCAACTTCTTTCTTTTTAGATCTTCAATGAAAATGTAGGGGGAAAATGATCCCTTCCGCACTGCCTTCATCTCATTTTTCTTGGTTGTTAGAAAGGCAGAGGGGACGCTAAATATGCAGCACATTGAAATAGTTCATTCTAGGAAAGAGACTGTGGTATAAGGGACAGAGGGGGAAGGAAGGGAGACCTGATTGCTGTGATGAAATACTGTGTCACTCCAATAGTCTACAAGGATTAAATGTCATGTGTAGAATAAGAGATATGCACATCTGAAAATGAGCTACTTTTGCCAGTGTCACCCCTCGCTGCTGTCATCAACCTGTTGCCTTTTGCTGGGATGTGATTGTGTTCATCAAACCTAATCCACGTTAAGACAGCTTCCCAGAGTTACACTGAGGAGGAGGGGCCCTGGAGAAGCTGCGGGGGTCATGGAGATCCTATCTCATGAATGAGTTAATGTTCTCCTTGGGAGACTGGGTTGTAGAAATACATTTTTGGCAACCTACTTTTAATAAGGGTCCCCACCACCCAGCAGCGGTATTGGAAGAGAAAAGTTATTAAAATATGGGGGAAGTGGACCTGTTCAGCAATAGTTCTTTGGAGGTGAGCTCAATTGTCTTTGCCAGCAGTTCTGTCCCATAGCAAACACCAAATATGATTCAGCAGCTGCAGACCAGTCCTCTAGACAGGCAGACACCACACACAAACCAGCAGCTACAGTCCAGTCCTGAAGAAACCTCAAGGAAGAGGCCATACGCTGCCACAGGAACTTCACAAGCAGCTCTTTGGCCAGTTTCCCTAAATTGTGGTGTTACCACAAGTTGAACTTGACAACACTATGTAAGGTGAAACAATGCATGAATGTCGTTGGGAAAGAATAGCGAGGCAGAGCTAACCAATGCGCAGTACTCGTCTCCCACTGTCTGTGGGGTCATATTTATACTCCTTCATCACGCGTCAGTTCACGTGTTTGCTGTATCCAAACATCCTTTCACCTGCGTCTGCTTCAGGAAAACATTCTTTCCCGTGTGTGCTCCAGCAAAAGATCGTTTGACATAACTGACTTTCCAAACAAACCAGAAGTTTCCACTTGACTGGGTTAGTTCTTCCAAGCCTGGATTGGGACTCAGTACTGGAGTAGTCACAGCTGGCGTCCTCCACTTACTCTCTGAGTCCACTCTTACCCCATGCCCTCTTCTGCTTCCTTCTACTATCCTACCAGTAGCTGATCAGAGGTATCCACCTCTTTTTTTTTTTTTAATGACTTACTCAGCCCCTATTATTTTGGTTTAGCAACACAAAATAGACTAAGCCACCTTTCTCAGCAGCGCTGACTAAACAGCTTTAGAATGGCTTATCCAGCAAGGGACACCACAGACTCCAACGCTGATCTCTGTCTCATCCCTCTAGAGCACCAGGGAGGAGTGGAGGCTCAGCATCTGGTTAGTGTTCTGAGATGAGGGCTGTAGTTTCATAAGCAGCATGTCTCAGGGAAACATCTTATTGAGTCGAAGCCCGGGTCCAGAGTTGTGTTCATGGTATGGTCTCCACACATCTGGAGACAGATAGAGAGAAAGTATAGGTGCCAATGAGTCCATTTGCAAATGAGGCTCAGTCTAACCCGGAGAGGAAGAGGCACGGGTAATTCATCACAGACACGGGCTACAATCATCTGTCTGCTCCTAAACTGACAAATAGCTTTTGATCTTTCCATTCTTCCTTCCAATTTGAAAATAAAACCACCGCTGAGAGAGTTGAGACGGTCAGTTGATTTCTTTTTTAATGTTTTAAAAAGTATGAGAGTTAATGGGGAAGGGGGTGCTTTAAACCCCGGCACTTGAGAAGCAGGTGGATCTCTGTGAATTTAAGGGCAGCATAGTCTATAGAGTGAGGCCTTGCCTCAAAAATCAAAAATAGATAGATGAGATATGAAAGTTAGGATGATGTCATTACTTTGATCCCAGTTACTCTTAATAATCTGCTTTGACAGAATCCAATTAACTTAATATAGCCAATTGCACAATTTACTATAATAAATGGCATGCTGTCACATCATACATATGTGAAGTCCTTCTGGGAAAGAAGAGTCCTTTAATTCCACAGTCAACTAAGGTGGTGCTGTTGAGCTGTGCTGCATAGAGAGTGGAACGGAAACAGAGGGAAGGATGGGAGCAAAGAGGATCGTCCTACGTATAACTGGGACAGGACTGGAGAAGAGAACAGACAGTGGGAGAATACACAGGAGCAGGAGGGAGGGAGAAAAAAGAGACCACAGACACTTAGTGAAGATAGAGACTATACTAAAGATGTTTAGAAACATGTTTCGGGGCAGACTTCATGGCTCAGTGGATAAAAGCACTAGTTGTCAAACCTGTCAACCTGGGTTCGAGCCTCTGGACTCACGTGGGGAGAGAATCAACTTTCATTTGATGCCCTCTGGTCCCTCATACAAGCGCATGTCAAATAAATAAATAAATAAACAAACAAAAGTAATAAAATCCCTTATTAAAAAAAAATCTGTGGCCTACCTCAATAATATAATTCTAGGTTTCCACCCTCTCAGAAGTTATTTTGTGAAAGCCATTGTTAGTTGTCCAAGTTCTTTGGAGTTGTGTCTACTTATTTTAGCTGTGTTGACTCTTTAGGCTGAACTTTGAGCCAGAATAGCCATTCTGTTACATGGATTGGATGTGCAGTTTAAGTAGGACAGGGAGACACAGCTATTGGTCACCCTGGCGTCTGAAGCTCACCTGGCCGGCGCATGGGTGCAGATGGGAATTACCAGGGCTGGAAACAATCTGATACAAAAGGGTCTGTGGATTTCTTCTCATTCTGAAACATGATTACATGTTTGGTGTAGCTCAAAAGTGTTCCAGCATCCAGTTTTCCCCTCCGTTGTATTTCCCCAGGAAATGGGGTAAATGCTTGAATTTTATTAACCTTGTTACGCCTTACCATTAAAACCCACCACCATTAAAGCTATCCATTCAATGAACTAAAATGGAGTAAATGTTTGAGAAGACAGAGGTGTTTGACCTGATTTAAATGTGACACGATGTTCATCTGCGTTCCACACATCACATGGCATCTCATAAAATGTACACGTTTGTGGTTTTATGTGCCCATTAAGAATTAATTTGGCTGAACATGATGGCGTACTCTTCTAATCCCAGCACTCAAGAGGCAAAGACCAGTGGAACTCTGTGAGTTTGAGACCAAGACAAGTTAAACTAAAATAACCCAGGATATAATGCCATGAAATAAAACAAGCAGAGTTTGTTTTGAATTTTTGAGGCAGGGTCTCAGGTACCCAAGTCAGCCTCAAACTTGCTACATGGCTCCAGAGATGACCTTGAACTCCTGATCCTCTGGTCTCCTCCTTAGGAGTGTTAAGGTTACAAGCATGTGCCACCACGGCCAGCTTTATGCAGCTCTGAGTATTTAACCCAGGGACCCAGATGTGCTGGGTAAACGCTCTCCCAACACAGCTACATCCCCCATCCAAAGTCTAGCTTTTAAATGGAACATGATCAATATTCAGGCAAATGTAGAGAACAACATGGGCAGTAGCCACGGATAACCATGCAGCTTTGTTGGACTTCAGCATGTTTTAACAAACCCTTTCTCTCCCTTCAACCCCACAGGGAACTTCACTGCTGAATTTGCTACTTGTTATGCGCTGTTCTGTTCAGATTCTGGGGTCAAGGCCAAAATCCCCCAAGGAGAAGGTGATTGAAGATGGGGTGCCTGGCAGGTAATGGAGGCATGAGGGTGGAGCTCTGATCAATGTGGTTAATGAATTATAGGAAGGTGAATGGCCAGAGCAGACTCCCACTACAACATACGGGTATAATGAAAACACATCCTCTGAGGATCAAGGACAGTCATCACAGAATCCAGACCTTCCAGTACCTTCATCTTGGACTTGTGAGAAATCCCCACTGATGAAGCCACCCAGTCAGTGATAGATTTAAACTCACCCAAACTAAGTCAACAGTCATCATTCTTGTCCATACATTTTCTTTATAATTTTACTACATATGTATTTATGTATTAATATCAAGAATTACTTTTCCAATTTTAAAACGTATTTAAACAGTTAAATCCCATTCCACTCATACACACATCATGAGTCTTTATATCTTCATGCAACCTGAGGATATATCAATATCAAACATGAGGACGTTTCTCTATCCTAAGGGCTGTTTCCCAGTGTATGGCCGTATCATGTTTATTCACTTATCGTCCTGTAGATGAATACTTACCTTTTAATTTTACTTCTTTGCTACTATAAGCCAGACTATGTAAAAAAAAAAAAATTCTTTCTGGTGGAACATTTGCAGCCTTTTTTAAAATCCCTTTTGGTTTTGACCTATAGCTATCTGGTTACTGGTGTTATTCTGTTATTGTGGTTTTTTTTTTTTACCAAAAGCAACTTAAGCATGAAAAGGATGATTTGGCTTACACTCCCGGGTCATGCAGCACATCACTGAGAAAATTCAGGGCAGGAAGTCCAGGCAGGAACCTTGGGGCACAACTCTGGAGAAGTAGTGCTTGCGGGCTTGCTGTCTAGTTCATGTTTAGGAGAACTAACCTCTCATTTGTTTATACAGCCCAGTGCCACCTGCCTAGGAAATGGTGCCACCCACAGTGGGCTGGGCCTTCCTACATCAATTAATGACGAAGACAATCCCTCACACACAAGGCCACAGGCCAACCATATAAAGGCAATTTCTCAACTGAGACTTTTCAAGTGATTCTGGGCTCTGTCAAGTTGAGAACACTAACTGGGAAAATGACCAATAAAGTTGACTTCATTTTTTAAATGTCTGTCTGTTGCTTTTAAACATGCGAATTCCTATGACCATCAGGATATAGAACAGTTACCTAACACCACTTCTTTACAGTCCAACCTTTGTCCCCCCCAGTTGCCTGGCAACCAATGATATACTCTAATAATGAAGATGTCATAGTTTTTGTTTGTTTCATTTTTTTTGACATCATGTAACTGTAGCCTAAAACAGCATACAGCCTTTTGAGACTGGACTCTCTCGCTCAGCACAATGCCTTTCGGATCTACCCTGCCACTGTGTGTCTCAACGTGATGTCCCTTCATTTTACTAAGTTGTATTCTATCACATGGGTTCTCCTTGTAGATTCCACGCTGTCCTCCTGCCTCTGCCTTTAGAGTGCTGGGATTGTAGGTACTACATATGCCATGCACAGAAATACTGATTCTTGGGGTTGTGTATTGGTGTCTGTTTGAATATACATGTATACAGGCAGGCATGCATATGTATGCATGTGTATGTATGTATACATGTGGAAGCCAAATGACAGCCTCTCATGTCACCTCTAGGGATGCAGACCCTCTGTCTCCTTTGAGACAGGTTATCTCATTGGCCTGGAGTCACTTGCCAGTGGATTTCAAAGATCCTCCTGCCTCTTTCCCCAATACTAGATTACAAGAGACACTATGACACCTGTCCTTGTTTTTAGATTTATTTTAATTAATTTACTTACTCAAGCAATCTTTCACAGGACATACCCACAATCCAAGCCAGTATAGACAACCCCTCATTAAGACCCTCCTCCCAGATGATTCCTGGTTGTATCAAGTGGGCAATTTAAGCCAACCACTACACCACGGGTCTTAAAGAGCTTAAGGCAAGAATTCTCTATCAGCTTCACCCAGACATTTGCCATTTCTCTGTTCTTCCTCCATCCCTAATGATCCAGGATTCCTTCTGGAAACATGTATCTTCTGAAAATTTCCTTTAACATTTGCAAGAGCTAAATTGTCTTCACTGTTTCTTTTCTTTTCTTTTTTTCTTCAACTGAGAATGGTCTCATTTCATCTTCACTCCTGAAAGAAATTAATACTGGAAGGGAACTTGGAGATTGTCTAGCTCAAAAATGCTCATTTGCATGGGAAGCAGAGCCCAGAGGCATTAAATAACATAACCCATGCCATCATGAGAGTTAATGGCTGAGCCAGGACCATGTCATGTTAGTGAGGGCTAACTCCCTCACTCCCAAGCCTGTACTCTTCCCCTCTGCATAATGTCCTGACTTGTTATTTCAATTATTTGGCTAGTACTGGGAATAAACTTATGCAAAATTGACTCTCACTTGTTTATTAGGAAAAATGTAAAATTATCTTTTTTTTTTCTTTTTTAGAACAGAAGAGGGCTTTGGAGATCATGAGCTTTGATGGTCCGTAATTTTATATGTGGAAAATGGAGCCCAGAGAAGGTAATGCAGTTCCCCTAAAGAAATTGTATTAATGAGAGCCATGACCTTCTATAGCAAAATCACACTACGTGCGGGCTAAAACTGTTTTGTCATTTGCGTTCCAAAGCAGTAGTAATGGCTTGAGCTGAGCCAACACACTGTCTTAGGACCCTTAGGACTTCCTAATTACAATTGCAATGAGCAGTATTAGACTGTGCAGCCTAGCTGGACATCTGGGATCCAATCTATGCCTCTGCTGCCATTAGCACTGTCCTGCTAGCCAGTAATTTCCAGACTCCACTGTGTGTCTGATTCTTACAA